TCAGGAGCTGTGGAGGCTGCTCTTGATGGTGGACACATTTGTGGGATTGTTTATTGTACTCATGCAAGGTCACTGCGTTATTCATCACCTGTAGATACACTGGGAAGGCATCAAGAGAGCAGTGTTGTGTGGGTTTGGGTGGAGAGGAAATCTGCAGGAGTCAGGCTTCCCCATAGATAGACATTTTGGGCTCTAATCTCATCAGGACCAGATTCCTTCCAAAGATCCCACCTCCCATTACTACTATACTGGGGATTCAACATGTGAATCTGGGGGTATAGAGATATTCAGGCTATAGCACTATCCCTTCATCAAAGTGTGGTGATGTTGCAGTTAACATTTAAATGGTCCCAATTATTCTCTATTGGGAAGATTTAAGTTAACTATTTTTATGAGCTGTAATATGACAGTTTAGAATTGAAACAGATGAAAGGATTTCTTACCTCCAGTTTCTCTCCTTGGTGTCACTGAGATAGATCTAAAAAGGAAATTAACATTTACTTTTTTCACCTATTTTGTAATTTATTATGTTAAAATAATACAATTTAGCATGTCCAAAATTGACTGCACCACTTTCTTTCTCATTAGGTAGCTATGCCACACAGGGATTCATCTTTAGTTTCATTCATTGCTGCCCTACCACGTAAGTGCAGCTGTTATATCTGTTAAGTATTTCTCAAATGTATCCCCATTGTCCTATATGGACATTACTCATTTTCTCTAAAATTCACTTTTGTAACAAGTCACATGTGTTAAAAAAGCTCATAGTAAACTTATTGGAGTTTGAATACAAGACATTGTGTAATCTGGGCCCTTGAGAAGCGTCAACCTCATTTCTGTCTCTTAGTTAAGCTTCAGCAACATTAAAGTCTATTTGCAGTTCTGTGCATATTCCATGCCCTTCTTGCACCTGTGTCGTCTTATGCTGGGATCCCTGTCTGGAAATTACAAAACCATTTGCTTGCTTGCTTAATTTCTTCTTACTAACATTCAGCTCAAGCATTGTTTTTAGAAATCATATCTGACTCCTTCCTCTCTATGCCTATCTCCTGACTCTCAGTATTGGGTTCATGTATTCAAACATTCATTGATTTAAATATTTATAGGGGGATAGAGGTGTAGCACAAGAATTGAGCTCAATACCTAGCACTGAAAAAAAAAATTAAGATACCCACTGTGGACTTGGAATATATCAGTGAACAAAACAAAAGATCCCTGCCCTTGTGGTTCTACATTTGAGTCAGATAAACAGAAGGAAAAAAGTGAATAAAAATGAAATTATTTAGGATATTAGAAAAAAGCATGGGAAAAGTGCTCAAGTAGAACAGAATGAGGTGGATCAAGAGTTGGAGATAGAAGTGATATTAAACACTGTTGCCCCCAGTGAAGTGATATTAAGAGCTGAAGGAGGTACAGGATTTTTGTCTACATTGATATTTGCAAAAAGAGCAGAGATAATAATAGGGCAAGGGCCCCAGTATGGAAGCACACCTGGTTTACTTAAGAGAGGTCATGAAAGGCATTCCACACAGGGCTTGTGAGCACCACTACAAGCTCCTTCCTGTATGAGGTTGGGCAGCGTTGGAGGTTTTTAAGTAAATGAGTGAACTTATGTTGTGTCAGGGTGCTGTATTGTCACATAGACAGATGGAGGTTAGCCAGTAAGGAGCCTCTTAAAACATCTGGATGAAAGACGATGATGGCTTGAATGAGAGTATTGACTTTGGGGAAGGTGAAATGTCAGATTCTGAACCTGTTTTGAAGTTTGAGACAACAAGAGATGGCCTGATGGTTTTGGTAAGAAGTAAGAGAAAGTCACATCTGATTCTGGGATGCTCAGTGTCATTCTCCTTAATCCTGTGCCTCTGCCTGGTTATCCAGGCTTGTCTGTCTCCTACTCAACTCTCTCTCCTTCATTCCCCTGTCCAGTAGCTGACGAATGGACATTCCTGGCATCAGTCCTTTCCATGGGAGGAAAGGTCATTCTGGATGTAAATCTGTTTTTATGATTCTTCAGGTTAGACTCTCACCAGTTGCTCATAAAGAATGAGGTACTTAGCATGTCATGCAGATCCTGAAACTCTGTTATCTTTGGAGCTTTATCCTCTACCCCTTCTACATGCTCTTTATATATAGATTTTTTTTTTTATCTTCTAAAGGTTTGATCTTACCTGGGAAGAGAGTATGTGCTGTTCCTTCTGCCTGAGATGCCCTTCCTGTCTTGCTCATCAGTGCATTACAAGACTGAATTTAGGTGTCCACTTGTCTGTGAGAGCCTTCTCTGACCTTAATCTTCCACCTAGTCTGGTACTTTTCTTCCAAACCTGGTGAATTATTGTTATACTTCTCATGCCACTGTTTTGTAGATTTTTGTGTGACACCATTCTGAGCACTCAATGGCAGGTGCATTAGTAATCTTTCACTATTAGCTGGCACAGGCCCAACACATACCTGCTTGACTTTTAGGCAGTTGAGGAATTAAGGCAGAAGTAGGTAGAAATCAGTTGGTCTTTATGTTAGGCATATAAAAACAAAAGTGGAAGAAGACAGAGTTTGGTGGTCCAGAAGGGCAAATGGGGTTGGAGGGAGTTGGAAGTTAGCCTAGTTTTCATGAAAGTATCGAGGGCCTTAGCAAAGGGGAGAGTAGCAGGAGACAAGGCTGCTTAGGAACAGATCATGGATGTGCTTGCATACCTCAAGAATTTTTCACTTTGTTCTGAAATGGTGAGGACCCGATGAAATACTTCTCAAAAAATCATACAAAAACCTGAAAAGACATGATTGTCATTTTGGTTCACATGGCATTTTGTGTCCATCCTACCTTTCCTTGGGTTGTAGCATTCACAGGAGAATCTATGAATCAACAGTACTTCTGGATACTTGCTGAGAAGGGAGGAATGGTAGGTAGAGGGACCAGTTAAGGATGTGTCTTTTTGTCCAGTATTTTAACAGTTCAGTAATCCAGAGGGGAAAAGAGCTTGTGTTTGTTGAGCTGAAAGGGATGTGGGTGGCTGGTGGCTGTGGGGGCCTCTTGCTTATAGGAGTTAAGAACTCAAGAAGCAAGGCCTCAGGGGCAGGGTCACATGCAGGTTCCATGGAGGTACCATGCCAGCCTGGGAGAGAGCAGAGAGCCTGCAGAGCTTCGCGGGAGGTGGCTGCATGCCCATGCTTTGGGCTGCCAGGGCTGGGCAGAAAGTGGGCAGAAGGAAAGAATGAAGGGAGGAATGAGGGAGAAAGAGGGAGGGAGGAAGTTAGGAAGAGGGAAGGGGGGGGAAGAAGGAAGTGAGGGGGCAAAGGAGGGAGGAAGTGGGGGGGAAGGGGGAGGAAGGTAAGGAAGAAGGAAGTGAGGGGGCAAAGGAGGGAGGAAGTGGGGGGGAAGGGGGAGGAAGGTAAGGAAGAAGGAAGTGAGGAGAAAGGGAAGGAGGAAGTAAAGGGAAGGGAGGAAGGGAAGAGAAAGGGAAGGATGAAGGGGAAGGGAGGAAAGGAGGGAGGAAGGGAGAGAGGAGGAGGAGGAAGGAAAGGAGTAGGGAGAGAGGGAGGAAGAGAGGAGAAAGGGGAAGGGACGAAAGGAGGGAGGGGAAAGGAGGAGGAGGAGGAAGGGGAGGAAGGGAGGGAGAAAGAGGAAGGAAGTAAGGGGGGAAGGGAGAAGGAGGAAGGAAGTGAGGGTGAAGGGAGGGGAACGGGGAGGAAGGGAAGGAAGAAGAAAGAGAGAAAGAGGGAAGGGGAAGGGAGGAAGAGAGAAAGGAGGAAGGGGAATAGAGGAAGGGAGGGGGAAGAAAGAGGGGAGGGGAGAGGAAGGGAGGGAGAAAGAGGAAGGAAGGGAGGGGGAAGGAGGGAGGGAAAAGGAGGGAGGAAGTGGAGGCGAAGGGAGGGGGAAGGGGAAGGAAGGAAGGGAGGAAGGAAAGAAGTGGGGGATTAAGAGGAAGGGAGGAAGGAAGTAGACGGAAGGGGGAGGGAGGGAACACTTCCGGCAGTGACGTCACCAGAAGTGGCTGTCACCTGCTCTGTTCTGTGGTGCTGTGTGGTGCTGTGTGGTCTCCCAGGCGGTCTTGGCCTGCTGGGTCCCACAGCAGCGAGGCCAACCATGGCAGGTGGCGTGGCGTGGAGGATGGCTGGGGTATGCAGCTTAGGTGACTAGGAGGTGACTAGGGCGGCCTCCAGCGCACGGGAGACCAGGGTCTTCCCAGCCGGCCATGCGGGCCCAGGCCTCTGCCTTCCCTGCCTTCCCTGGACCTCGGGCTCCCGGGCACAGAGGCCAGGAAGGCACGGCCGAGAGGGGGTGAAGGAAGATGAGCCAGGGAGGGACAGCGGAGGGACAGTGCTGTGCCCTGCCCCTCAGGGCTGTGTGCTCAGAGCACCTCTGGCCCAGCGGGAGGACCTAGCTTCAGATTGTTTAAGCACTAAGTTACATGCAGGTCATGAAACAGGAAGCCTGGAGGTGGGGTGGCCAAGGGGGGATTGACTCAGTGACTGGCATCCTCAGGGGCCATGTCGTTGTGCTGCCCAGTCGGCTACTTGGTACAGTTCTGCTGCTGGCAGAACTAGCTATAGGCCTGGCGTACATTGCAGGAAAGAGGGGCTTTTTTTTTTTTTTGGTCATTGCACCTGAACAAATGCGATGGAGAGGAATGAGAGTAAATTAGGATTCATTCTGAGCTGGACGAGATAGTATGACCCTTCCTGAGGGGGGCAAATGGTGGCTAGCAGTATTCTGAACAAAGGCAGTAGCAGTGGGTAGGGTATGGAAAAGGCCAGAATAAGTCAGGAATGCCATGGAGGTAGGATGGACAGATCTTCGCTGTCCTGTGCATTTAGGGACTGAAGAAGAGGGTAGATTGGAGGATGGCTGGGGTATGCAGCTTAGGTGACTAGGAGGAAGAGGATTTTACTAAAAGATGGGATGCAGAAGAAGGAGGAGTAAGGATTCAAGGAAGTTAAGGTATATTGATGCTGAGAATTATCTGATGGTTACTTGGTTTTTTTGTTTGTTTTTTGTTTAGAAGCTAATGGTATAGATGTAGAAGTCATCCACAGAGATGTTACAGTTGAAGAGATGGGGGTAGAGAAGACTTTGAAGGAAAAGAATGTAGAATGAGGATAGAAGAGAGAAAATCTCAACATTTAACAGGTGAGTAGAGGATACTAAGCTAGCCAAAAGAAATGCAGAAGGGACATTCAGAGAGATAGGAAGCAGCTCTTTGAAGTTTTGAGTTTTAATCTCCAGTTTATTAAATTTATCAATTGACTAAAACTTGCTTTATTTAGATATTGAATTGATTTTGACACTAGGCCCCAGGCAATTCCCCACTGCATCCTTGGCAGGATTTTATTGTATTAAAATTTTATGGTATTTTACATTGGATGGGTTAATTTTAACACTTTTTGAGGATTTACTTGAAGTTCTATTAGTTCATTTTGTTTTTCATAGGACATTTGGTCTGCTTAAGAATGTATTTGCTTTAAGCAAATTGATTATTGACTAATTTTTTTTTGATATGTTATGTAGGAGAAATTTTCAAGAAAGTGTGGAATCAATTAGCAATATCTGATAATGCTGAGACCTAGGAAGATAAGGGCTAGGATAACAGTCATAAAACTGAAATAATGATATTTAAGAGTTTGGGGGAATTTTTTTTTAAATGAGTGGTTTTATTGTAGGCTGAGGGCTGAACTCATGGGGTTATGATTAGGAACGAGTTAGAATTAAGGACACTAAAGTAAGTACAAGTCTACTCTTTATACTTTGTTGGTAAAAGAAAAAAACTGAATGTGTGTTGGGTTTACCAGGTTTGAAAGAAGTTTTGTTGTTGTTGATGATGATATTTCAGGGTTGGTGGAAATGTGAGCATATTAAAAATCTATTATCAGGGAGTATATTTTGAAGACATGAAATATAGCGGGGAGAGTAATTAAGTGAGCAAGGCAAAAGAGGAACTAAACCAAGAAGAAGAGCTAGCTGGGTTTAGAGAGAATGGAAAGTGGGTAGAGGTTCAAAGAAATGTTGAAGCAGAAAGATGAAGAGTCCTCTTGGGGGAAAAGAAGGTCAAATTATGTGTCACAGGATAATGATGTGTCTGAATGCTCAAGGGTAATGAACAGTCTTGGCTTGGCTATTGTGGGATCAGGACAGGGAGTTGTCTATAGGGAATAAAAGAATTAACAGGACTGAATTTTAAACTCTAACCACTGAGAAATGCTAGTGAAGAGAATTGGATGGTTGAGTTCACCTTGCATTGGGTTTACACAGGGAATTCTGGGGTACACACTGGGGTGTCAATGAAATAACTGGCAAAGGTTTTCAGATGGTTGAGGAACAAAGTGAAGAGAGACAGAGTATACAACTGAGAGCACAGACCAAGCTCAGGAGTAATGAAGAATGACATGTGAGGATAGGATGATGCGTTCACAGAAGGAATTTCTGTCATGGGAGAGTGGGGACAGTTTTTCTCTTATCCATGGTTCAGAACAGCTGATTTCTGACCCATACAGAGTTGTATAGAATTAGTTAATTGTGTTTATTCTAATTTAACAGATAAACTTGAAGGAATAATAAATATGTATTACCAGGATGACAAAGTAACATGTGCAATACAGTGTGTGTGTTTGTGTGTGTGTGTGTATAGTACTGTTGGTGATGTTGTAAATCATGGTGTAAATGCACTGTAATTTTTAACAGAGTAATATCCAGTGTGAGTTAACACTAATAAATAAAAATCTTGTTCTTCAAAGTATAAATATTTATTACATTGGTAAAATTAGTTTTCAGTTAGCAAGTGCAGTGTTTCTCTAAATATTTAAAATTTGTTTTAAAATTTTTTTGTGTGGTGCTGGGGACTGAACTCAGGGCCTTGTGCATGTGAAGCAAGCACTCTTCCAACTGAGGTATACCCTTAAAATGATTTTTTAAAGCAAAGATAGATTTAAACAAATATTTAGGGGCAAAGTAGTTCTTGTAAGACTTTGTCTTTGACTAGTGTAACTGTTTGAACCCCACCTGACCTAACGTGACCCTCTTCTTTGTGTTTAGAGGTATGAATATCAGCCAATGTTTGAAAGCAGTCTTAAGCCTATTGCCAACTCTCAAGCACCTTTTTAGTGGAGCTAATGTAAGACTTACATGTACTTTTCTAAAAAATTGCTTTTTCTTTAAATCTTCTAAGTGGAGCCAATGGCCTCACAGTTCTGAAAGTATAACTTCAGCTTTCACTTTCATAACTAAGAAGGGGTTGTCATATATAGCTAGGTTGCCCTTTAAAAAAAACTCTCTTAAGGTTGGATTTAATCATAATTAGTGTAATGTGTTGGATAGTTTGTTTTGTTAATAAGTTGCTCAGAGCTGCGTAGTTCATAACTTTAACCTACACCCTCACAATCACACACACCTTCCTTCCGCTGGGGTTCACACAGTAATGTTGAAGTGCCAGAGACTGTCAGCTGATAAGATAAGAAGCACATGTCCATTGCCACAAGCCTGGGGTCCCTCCTGGGCCTGCTGACGCACACAGTCCTCTCTTGATGTCAAAGGGTTGATAAGCAGCACCTTGGCTCCTTTCCTGAATTTTGTGCCAGAGCAGAGGAAAAGACTCTTTGTCTTGGCTGGGGGGTGGTAGCGGGGAGGAGCTGTATTGAGATTTTTTTCTTTTTTAAAATTATTGCTTTTCTTGACTATAAGCCAGATTGTTGTCTGTTTAAATATTATTTCTGAAATGTTTGGCAGAAATGTTTGTTAGCAAAAATATGGTTAATTCATCATGCATGATATTCTATGATTTGTTGCCCCCACTAAAGTTTTACATTTGTCATTTTTTGGTGAGAAAATAAATATGACAAATTTGATTAAAAAAAAGATAGTTTAGCGGGTTTCATGAAAAGAAGTTCTTATACTCTCTGCATTTACCCCCCTATCTTAATAAACCTAAGTAGGGGGGGAAGCTAATCATGAGCTAGCATGATTTCAGCTTAACATCTGATAAGCTGTTTATCTCAACTTGCTTATTGACCTTTACACTAAAACATGGAGAAATCAGGGATTCCTGGGATTAAACTGTTCACTAATTCTACTGATTAAAAACTACCCAGACACAGAACACACTCCACAGCCAAACTGTCATTACAGAGATAAAGTCTCAGTAGTATATCATACAGTAGAACATCTGCTCTAACTATTTTAATGGCTCTTTATGAAATCTAAAATGTGAAGATGAGTGTAAACCTGTAATCCTATGGCTACCTTGTTAAAAAGGGGAGCACAGGTGTACATATTAGAGTGAAAGATCTGAAAATCTACACAGCTAGCATATATATAGCAGAAGTTACTAGTCACTAGTTATGCTGTCAACTCAGGTTAAGGAAGTTTAGCAGGCTTTTCATTATAGTCTAAATTTCAGATTATCCACTAGCTGAGCAAAGTCATCAGTAAAAACTGTGGGTTGCAGCAATCAGTATCCACACACCATTCCAGCCATATGGAAGGGTAAAGTGCACAATTTGAAAATGAAAATGCTGTGAAGAATGGTTTTATTTTCAAAGAAAAAAAAAGAAAAGTTTTGAGAATTTAGAAATAACTACCAAGTTCTTTCAGTGCCATTGTTGATTTAAGGTACTTTCTTGAGGCTTCTTTTATAACAATGTATTATTGTACCTTTCATTGACTAATATTTTATTGATTTGAGTACGAACTAATTTTTTTTTCACTTAAGTGCTAGCAATAGATGACATTTACTGAAAACTATTTTAAGCAAATTCCATTTATGCTTATTTAATCCTTAAAATAATTCTATGAGGTGTAGGTATTATTATCTCCATTTTCCAGATGAGGAAATTGGGGCACAGAAATATTGAGTAATTTATTCTGCTAATTCAGAAGAATTGTAGTAGTCTTGTCTTTAACAATTACAGTTTTATGGTGTAAAGTGTAAAGTACATGGAGTGAATGACCAGAAAAATAATGTTGTCTTTCTTTATCAGTTGTTACTCACTGTCATTAAGTGATTAATTATCGGAGAAAGGAATTAGAGTCTTAGAGGTAATCAGTGACACAGATGAAACTTCAAAGAAAGGAGAAGTGCTGTGTTTGTGTTTAAATCTTTACGATAACTAAAGATAAGTGAATATAATTCTGGGTTTTGCTGCTTCTGTGAAGTACGCTTAGTGAGCAAATTTACATGCTGTATTCCTGCTCATAGAGTGTGTTGGTCACCAGGAAGAACTTGGCTCACTCAATGTTAAGCAAGAACTAGTAGCTTTTTATGGTTCAGGGGTAAGATGTTTGACAGCAGTGCAGCAAGTTGGCTCTACAGCAGATTATATTAGGAGCAAATGGATGGAAACCTTTGAGATATTTGCAGTACAGCTTCAAACAGTGTGGCATGACTGTGGATTATGAGGAAATAACATAGCTGGATTGCCTTGTACTAAACACTTAAGAAGGATAATGTTTGAAAAAGGATCACCAATTTGCCTAAGAACAAACAGCCAGGTTAGTGGTAGATACTGCTTTCTGCAGGGTGGATCCATGGTAATATGAGTGTGTCTTCGCTGGGATCAAAATAATGAAATTATTACAAGTAATGAAATGCTCCAGTATGGTTATGAATTTCTTCATTTACTCATTCAATTCCCAAGTGTTTGTTGAATGTCTACTATGTCAAAGTATAGTGGATTCTATATTGGATATTCTAGAATATTCTATATTCTATAGAATTATGTATTCTATATAATGTCTAATATAATATTCTATATTCTATATTGAATATATAGAATATTCTATGTTTTATATTGTCTACTCACTAAAATTTATTTGTAACCTCATAATCAATACTTGCTGTGCTTGCACTGTCATTTTTGCATGTGCAGAGTGATTGGTTGACGAAAATATTGTCACCAAAAGCTTGCAGGAACCTAGCCTCATATTTCTACTAGAGGCAGTGGTTTGGTACCTGAAGATTCAGTGTTTGTGTTGATTTGACAGAACATAACTACTACTGGCAGTCCTTGAGTATAATTACTAGGCTCTGGGGATAAGAAGATAAATAAGATGTAGTTTCTTTTTAAATATTATGTTATTGGTGGAGAGACACCTTAAGTCAATGTTTAACAAATTGATATACTAAAGGCCCTATAGAGCATAGATCTTTCAATAGACTTTGAAAACAATGTGTTGTATTGCCAGCTTATTATCTTTATTAAAGAAAATGGAATTATTTCCTCTTTTAAAATTAAGTAGCATTTGAGAAGGTGATTTTTGAAAACATTCATCTTAAAAGAAATATACTCTTTTCTTGATGATAACCTAGTAATAAGTGAATTGTAAAATTCAAGTCAGTGCTTTTTGAAGTATATGCTAAATGATTATTATTATATGCACTGCATTAATTCTTACTGAGGGATTGTTCCATTTATCATGATGATTTCTCCTAGTTGATTGTATTAAATTTAAGTTTGTAGTCTTAATATGTATATTTCAGCTTAGATATCAGATCAGATTGATAACCCTTATTTTTATCTCATCATTTTTTTACATAATATTTTGCAGTTATTAAAAAGTATAATTCAGTCTTTTAAATAATTTTAGAAACAAGTATAAGAGTTTTGGACCAGAAAGTGTTAGTTTAAATTGTGATTCTTCAGGATTTGCGTGTAGAAGTCCTAGTGCCAAGTGCCTGAGGTCTCCTGGCTGTTTGGGGAATAGGGCCTTTAAAGAGATGATGAAGTTAGATGAAGCCCACCCTGCAGGGCCCTGGTCCTTAAGACTGTGTCTTCTGGCAGTACTAGCAAATTGGTACTCTCCTTTCTGAAAATCATTCTGAGTTCAAAGGACATTTTAGTTTCTGTCCTAACTTTTCTTGGCTATTCATTGTTTTAAACAAGCATTGTATGCATCGCTCACATTGGAAAGTTCTTCCTGCTTATTTTTTTCTTCTCTAGAAAACAAAACTAAACACCTCCCATTGAGTCCCACTAAACACCTCCTATTGAGTCCCACTTCCTAACACATACATGAACTGGAAACTTAACCCTAGTGCAGCAGTGTTGGGAGGTGGGGCCTAGTGGGAGGAGTATAGATCCTGAGGCTTCTGCCCCTCTGAAGGGACCAGTACCCTGTACAAACAGGCTTGATGCTGGGAACTCGATCTCTTGCTCTCTTTTGCCCTTCTTCTGTGGAAAGATGCAGCAAAAAGTTGCCACTGTTGCCAGATGTAGACCCTTTGCAGACTTGCCAGCCTCCAGAACCCAGAGTCAATGAATTTCTGCTCATTATAAATTACTGAATCTGTGCTATTCTATTATAGTAGCACAAAAAAAGCTGAGGCAACAACTTTTATGAATGTGCAAATATAATCAGAGAATGTTATACACCTACATACTCTTTTACATTATCTCCCATTATTTTCTAGTTTTTCATTGTTTATAATGTGGACTTCCCATTTTATTTCTTAGACAAACTGCCTCTCAGAGTATTCTCCTGATGGTACTATGTTTACCTCATTTAGCATCAATACTTGAAGGAAATGTGGGCCAAAAATGTATTAAGGACAATATTATCTCCAATGAAAAATCAGCAGCATGGAAGAATTACCCACAAGTGACTGACATTTTTCTGGCTCAGCCCCTACGAAGAAAGTTTCTCTGCTTCTCTCATCTGTGGTGTAAGTGTGTGATTCTGGCTTGGCAGTCTACTGTTATCTTGCTTGTGGTGCCAGCTGTTGCGGGGAAAGAAGGCATGTTTGCTTCCCTTTATGCAAATGCTTAAAGGGTTCTTTTTTTTTTTTTTTTAAATCAGCTCTAATCAGTTATACATGACAGTAGAAAGCTCTTTGATTCATTGTACACAAATGGAGCAGAATTTTCACTTCTCTGGTTGTGCGTGAAGTAGAGTCACACCATTTGTGCAATCATCCATATACCTAGGGTAATGATGATCATCTTGTTCCACCCTCTTTCCTACCCCTTTGATCCCTCCTCCCTCCCCTTTGCCCCGTCCAAAGTTCCTCTACTCATAAAGTGTTCTTTTTAATGAATAATTTATTAGGCGTAAGTTATATGGAGAACTAGTCTTTAAAACATCTGCAAATTTGATTTGTATTTAGAATAAACTTTGTGTTTAATTCTTTTGTAAATCAAAGATCCTTTTTTAAAGTACATAATCTCTTCCTTTTAAGTAAATTCAGATTTTGTTTTTAAACCCTAGATTTGGTTTGTGCTAGGCTTCCATCCCTGGTGTCATCACCCCTCCTGTCCCTGGTACTAGGAATTGAATCCAGGGGCATTTTACCACCGAGCTACATTCCTAGCACTTTTTGTCTTGAGATAGGGTCTCACCAGGTTGTCCAGGCTGTCTCAAACTTACAATCCTTCTATCTCAGCCTCTTGAGTAACTAGGATTACAGTATGCTTGGACTTCTAAAGATCATGCATTTTGAGAGATTGATCAAGGAGAGTGTAGTGTGTTGAATACCTGACCTGCCCCCATCCAAATGATATGTCAGTGTCTCGAACCCAGAACCTGTAAATGTTATCTCCTTTGGGGAAGAATCTTTGCAGATGTGATTAAGTGTAGGATCTTGAGATGAAATCATCCTGAATTACTTCTGTGGGCCCTAAATCCAATGACACATGTCTTGAAAGAGGCAGCAGAAGATTATATGGTTAGAAAAGGAGATGGCATTGTGATCACTAGAGGAGAGATTAAAGTGAAATGGCCACAACTAGGAAGTGTTAAGAAACAAATTCCCTCTGGAGACTATGAGAGAATGAATTTCTGCTACTATAAGGCAGTCAGGTCATGGCCAAAGGAGACGAATACAGAGGGTGCTCCGTTCTCATAACCTAAGTCCTCCCTCCTAATGCCATCACAGTTGGGATTAAGTTTCAACATAGGAGTTTTGGAGAAACACAAGACATAAAATAGTGAAGTCAAGATTAATTTTTAAGTGGATTGGTGAAATTGGAATGTGTGCTTTAAGAAGTAACCCAGCCTACAAAACTTGGAAGAGAAAAAACAATAAAAAATTAACTTCCCCACGTGGAACCCAGAACAAAGACTGGCAGCTGTGTGGGCTGTCAGTTTCCACTGTGTAATTTAATACCCTAAATTAAGGGAAAGAGATGTTATATCTTAAATGAGGGAAAAATATTTTATAGAGCAGTACTGTCCAATAGGAATGTAACATAAAGCAAAGATGACAGATGTAAGTTAAAATATTTTAGTGGCCACTTAAAAAAAGTAGGGGAAATTACTGAGACTTATTTATCTAATATACTGTAATTTTAACTTAGGATTCCTATATCATTATTTCATATGGTATGTGACATCTTTACATTTGAATTGTTCTTCAAAATCCAGTGTGTATGCTCACACTTGAGTAGTAGCTTTTCAGGCACTCAATAGCTATATGTTCCCAGTGGCCACTTATTGGACATACACAGCTCTGTGCATTTTATAGTGCTAGAATGGTGTTTTTTAAGTTCTCTTTCCCCCACCAAATGTCAGTTTTTAAGGACATAGGCACTTACTATTTATTGGCATTTAATAATACCTTTGCATTCCAACAGAACCTCTACTTTTTGTCTTTGAGGAAATTACCCTATTAATCACTTAGTTCTTTAGGAAATAATTTAAAGAAACCCTTGTTCAACAATTGCTATGTGCTAGATACTCTGTTTAGGGCAGATGTTAGAAGGTAAGTTAGAGATTTCAACTTCCAAAAAAATTGAAATCTTGAGGTCAAAGCAAACAAATATGTCACTGAGAAGATGAAGTAAAACAAGGTGAGAGCTTTGGATTTGGATTCATAAAGTCTCGGGTTTGACCCTAGTGTCGGTAATGATTAGCCAGATGTACGCATGGATTATTTACCTCTTGGGACCCCTATAAGTTATTGAGGAAGGTTGATAAAATGCCCGGCACCTTATAAACAATAAGTGATGATTTTTTAAAGTATTGGGAAATGAAAAACCTCTGGTTACTGAGTATGTCAAGAGTGTGGGGAGACTGGGAATGGTTTCATAGTAGCATGACGAACAGATCCTTCTGTGGAAGTGAATAGGGACAGAAAAGCACCATCAGCTGTGGGATCAGCACACCTAAGGACACAGGGACAAAAATAAAAAAAAAATTGGTTGAAGACAAGATAGTTTTTCTGAGCAGTTTTTAACCTATGACTACGTTTTAAAAACAGGTTTGAATGTCACTTTTATCCATTATTAGTTGTAAGTAATTTAACCTCTGAATCTAAAGGTTCCTTGACTGTGAAGTAAGGTTTATGGTAATACCAAGAGCCCATCTGCTCGCTTCTAGTATTCCTCTAAGGATAACTGCTTTTCTAGTGCCTCAGAGACAGACCTTCTTCTCTAGCTTTTTATTGAGTAGACTCGTGCAATATTTACTCTTTGGTTTCTGGCTTCTTTGGTTCAGCGTTATGTGCTTCACTCATACTATTAAACACAATGGCTGTTAGTTCATTCTCAGGGCCATGTAGTATTCCATCCTGTGAATATATTAACTCCTCCTGATTGATTCTGCCATTGATGGTTGTTTGGTGATTCTGAGTTTTGGCTGTCTTAAGTAGTACTTTCTGGAATATTTTAGTATTATCTAAGGCTTCTGATACACGTAAGAAAGCATTTCTGAAAGATGGAATTCCCGGGTCATAGGAGATTAACTTGTTCTACTTGAGTAGATGCTGCCACACAGTTTTCCAATCTGATTGTACCATGACATTCCCAGAAGCAATGTATTAGAGTAGGGGTGGGAGTTTTGAATTGCTGATTTTGCCATATTTCTTTTATGAAAGCTGGGTTTGATTGTTACTCTGCTGTCTTAGAAACACTCGTACCAAATGTCTGTCGCTGTTTTAGTCAGCTTTTCATTGATGTGACCAAAGTTCTTGATAAGAACAATTTAAAGGAGGAAAAGTTTATTTTGGCTTACAGTTTCAGATATTCAGTCCATGGTCAGCCAACTTTGTAACTCTGGGCTCTAGGTATAAAGAGCTTCATGGCAGAAGGGCATTGTTGGGGAAAGTAGCTCAGAACCTAGCAGCCAGGAAGCAGGGATGGGGAGCCTGGGAGGATAGAGGAGAGTGAGCAAGCGAGCGGGCACACACTCTAGCTTTCTGCTCACCAGAGATAAAATGTAAAATGCAAAGCCATGCCTCCAGTAACCTACTCCCTCTAACCACAAACTATCTGCCTATAGTTACCACCCAGTTAATCCATATCAGAGGATTAATCCACAGATTAGATCATGACTGTCAATAACCTAGTCACCACCTATGAACATTCATGCATTGTCTCACACACGATGGGAGACACCTCGTGTCCAAGCCATAAAATTCTTTTTCTGGCCCTGCAAAGTTCATGACCATCTCCCATTACAAAATATATTTAGTCCATTTCTAGGAGTCCTCTTAGTCTGAACAGGTCTAGGGTTTTCCAGAAGTCCAAGTCCAAAGTCTCCTTTGAGATTCAAGACAAACTGTCAATGTGAGCTCCTGTAAAAAATAAAAAATAAGTTGCATATATCCAGTATCTAAAGGCACAAAGAAATATTTCCACTCCACAAGGCAGAAATGAGGGCAAAGAAAAAGCATTGAGACCAAAGCAAAACTGAAGTTCAGCTGGGCAAACAAATTGTGTGGCTCCCTGTCCAACAACCAGGGCACATGGCATGTGATAGTCTCTCCAAAGGGAGGAATCTACCCATGTGAACTTGCTTGTTGAAGCTCACATGGCCTCCCTCTTGGCTTGACTCAGCTCTATTCATGAAATTTTACTTGGCAGATCTTCCACATTACTGACTTTTTTAGTCTTAGGTGTCTCTACTACCACTTCGGCTTCCTTCTTGTATCTACACATTTTCCTCTGAAGGGCTGCTATAGGGATTCCAACCTTGCTACACTCTGCCTGACTTCTCAGGCCTTCCTTTGAAATGCTAGTGAAAGCCTCCATCACCCTTTATGCCAGCATCCTGCATTCCTGCAGAATAAGCACCATGTGGTTGATGCCGAGGTCTGCCACCATCTTGAGCAGTGGCTGAGCCTCCAGGGACAATGATTTCAGCAGCCTGTAGGTGCCTGGGTGGCTGAGTACAGTGAAATAACTTCTTTGGCCCCCCCTGTGCAGGCAGGGGGCCCCCCCTTCTCTTTTCTCAAAGGAATTTTTACTTTTACATCTTTGAGTCTGCGATAAGCATGGTCTTACCAATTCCTGAGAAGCCCTCATTCTATTTTTTTGTTGTTGTTTCTGTGTAAAGCACTTAGCATCTCTTTAGTGGCTGTAATCTCTTAACTATGGCTTTGTTAGCCCTAGTTTTAGTCCTTTTCTGGACAAGCTGAAACTTTTTCAAATCTTTCAACTTTACTTTCTGCTTTCCTGATTATCACAGGAAACTTGGCTCCTCACAATAGCCATGCAGCTGTCTGAGTGCTCTCCTGCCTTTTTATTTCCTCTGCCAGATTAGTAAGTCACCTTTAAGTTCAGCCTCATAGAAAGTCTCAGGACATGGGGAAAATGTAGATAACTTCTTTGCTAGAATGTAACATGACTGTCTTTTTGTCTAGTTTCCATTAGAGTCCTCTTTCCTTCTCCTCTGAAATCTCATGAGCCCAGTCTTTACTCCAACGGTCCTATTGACATTCTGGTCTTC